AAACAGTGTTGGAAATCCATTGCAGCCAACTTTTCATTGTGTAGACGACATCTTATTGATTGATTGTAGCAGATTGTATTAATTAACACACCATAATAACTCCTAATTATGCGCCAGTTACATACATTTTAATGTTTGTAAATCATGTTTTGTTTGAATGTAAGCATCCTTCTGTGTGTGAAATGTTTTTATTTGTCATTCACAATCGATCTTTCTCACTATGTAAGAATTTATCCATTGGAAACACTTGATAATAATAATAATAATAAGCATTTTTGATTGTCATGCATCCATTCCTTCATTCAGATGTATGTATTTGATGATGATTAAACACTATACATTGCTTTGAAATATTTGTATGTATTGATTTATTTTTATGGCTATCTGGTGGGAATGAATTCCGAGGTGGGTTGCCTCTATTAAACTTGCATGTCAGTAGCAGGTCCTTCATGGTTCCCCATAGCTTGCTCTGCACACTTTGCTCTTTGAGGCCAGGTGTCTTTTCAAAGTTGCAGGTAGAGTGGGCAGGAGATGAGAGCAAAGAGCATGACAATGGAAACAACAAGAGACAGAGGGAGGCCTGGAAGAAGATGGATTGAAGGAATCACTGACAAGCTAAGTCTTAACAACAACCAAAAACCGAGCACATCCTGGCTTGGCTACCTGTCACTTGTTGAAACTATCACTGGTCGGCACAAATATAAACAGATGGGAAACCCTTGAGACCATACAAATATATATAACAAACAAACAAATATTGATTGCCATTCACAGAAAGATTCATAGTATGGGGCGTCGCAGGTCAACCCAGCCTAAAATGGGTACCAGGATGGACATCCTGGGAAAGTAAAGACGGCCGGCGAAATGCTTACCACATTACCCATCCAGTGCTGATTGGTCTGTAAAAATATGGGACGTTCTGCCCATTTACCCGATGCGCCTAAGGCGTAATAAGGGATCTTTACTTACTTTTTTCCCCACAAAAAGATGGAGAAATATAGAAGGATACAGTCCCCTTGTGGGTTCCAGGGCCCTGTTATAGGGAAAACAAGAATAGACCCATTGCCTACCCAAAAGCCTGTCGTTAGACTCGACTAATCGGAAGCTTCCTTCAAAGTCTAAGTGCATCTGCCTAGGAGGCAAAGAACCAACAGTCTGCATACAAATGAGTCAAATCTGTCTAACGGATGCACACGCATCACTCAAGTTCTGGAACAGGACTGCCGTCCAAAAGTGGACAAATAACCAGAACTTTCCGCTAGAGTTTACAGCTGGTGAACGCAAAGAAGAAGAGAAGGATATTCTAGACAGCATGAAAGTCTGAAGCTGTAGTGTCCACGTTAGTAGTGTAACCTGTGAACCTGTCACCTCTGAATAATGACAGTACCTTGCTGCAGAAACATGGCTAATGAAGACAGCTTTTTATGGAAGGGGGCCTAGTTGGTCATGCACCTTAGTACTTATTTCTGCAGTAGAGTAGTGTCGTCTTTAAAAATGACAGGCTCGATTCATGGCATGGCTACTATACCTTTTGATTTGTGTGTGTGTGGGTGGGAGGTCTGTCTTACCTTTCTTCTTCTTCACATTCACTATCTATAAACTCTGGTGGAAAGTTCTTCCACTTCTGGCCTGCAGTCGTGTTCCAGAACCCGGGTGTTGCGCGCGCATCCATTTTACAGATCTGACTTATTTGTAAGCAGACTGCTGCTTCATTGCCTCTCAGGCAGATGCACTCCGACTTTGAAGGAAGCTCCCAGTAAGTTGATTCTGACGACACGCTTTTGGGTAGGCAGCGGGCCTATTTTAGTTTTCCCTATAATAGGGCCTGGAACCCACGCGGGGATCTTACCTTTCTATTTCTTGCTAGGAATTCCGATCGACACAAAGCAGATTTTGACAAAAGAAGAAAAAGGTTTTTGTTGGGTTTGTTTGTTAGACTGGCCGGCTGGTTATGGGTCCTTCAGAATGGATAAGAAATGTGCTGGGGTTTATTAGCAAGAATAAAGGGGACAGGTAAAAATGTTATAGATTCCTTGAAAGAAATTGTGTATAGAAGAGAACTGACTGCCCACATCAGAACGAGACAATCTTCCCGTCAGTGTTTGAGAGGCTTTTATAGGGAGATTGGGGATGGGGAGGGGGCGGGACAAGAATGTCGTAAGAGTCGACTAATTAGGGCTTTACTACTAAGTCGGAGTGTATCTACCTGAGAGGCAAGGAAGCTAGATAAGCAAGGATATCATCATTGTTCTGCCTCGACCACCTAACTGTGCCCTGGTGACTACTGATGAATACACACTGCTAAACTCAACTTCTGGAACAAAACTGAAGACCACAAGTGGACGAACAACTAGAACTTTCCGCCTGAATTTACAGCCGGTGAACGCGAAGAAGAAGAAGGAGACAATCTAAAGTCTTTGTTAACGACGTGACAGTTTGAAAGTTCAGGGGTGGAAAGATGGAGACCGAGATTGCAGTTCTGGACCGTCTGACATCATGGTATGTAAGGTCATCTGTGTCAGAACTGATTGAAAGTACACGAGACAAGTTGTGGTTAGACAGTACTGCCAACGTCACAAGGTATGGAAGGTCATTTGTATCAGAACTGATTGAAAGTACACGAGACAAGTTGTGGATAGACATGACTGCCAACGTCACAAGGTATAGAAGATCATCTGTGTTAGAAATGATTGAAAGTACACGAGACAATTTATGGATAGAAATGACTACCAACGTCACAAATGGATGGGAGATCATCTGTGTCCAAATTTATTGAAAGTACACGTGACAAGTTATGGATAAACATGACTACCAATGTCCCAATGGATGGAACATCATCTGTCTGTTTCAGAATTTATTGAAATTACACGTGACAAGTTATGGATAAACATGACTACCAATGTCCCAATGGATGGAACATCATCTGTCTGTTTCAGAATTTATTGAAAGTACATGAGGCAGTTGTTGCTGATATACATGACTACCAGCGTAATAATTAATAAAAGATCATCTGTGTTAGTGTACCGCCAAGGCAAGAACAGGGATGAATTGTAGAACCCCAGAGGGAACTGGGACGCATAGCAAATTGGTGTCAAACCTCCGGAGCACAGATTAATCCCTCAAAGGCGACTGCAACTTGGTTTTCTTTAAACAGTCACATAGTACATACAACAACGCCATCTGTGATATGAATGTTAACGAGATAGCAAGGACTGAACTTTAAAAATACCTGGGAGTGAGTTTTACTCGAAGCCTTAGCTAGAGATTCCAATGGCTACTATGGTCAACAAGATCAGAAAGGGTTTGGCTGCAATGCGAGCTAGGGTAGATCGGGGCAAAGACCCGCAGTCCCCCCCCCCCCCCCCACACACATTTCTGGAAAACCGTTCGTATGTATTTTATAAAACTATTGGCTGTCATGTGTGGTCAACAAAGGCTTGTAGTCATCCTCTATCAGGGTTTGGACCTGTCTGTCATAGAATATGTACTAGCATTCGTCACCCTCAGCAAGACACAAATCGACAGACTAGAAAAAGTACAAAATGAAGATCTTCCAAATATAAACATCTACCTCAAAATCACTGAAGTCTTTACACATCAACTGCACGATGAACTGATTACACCTAAAGGCAACAGAATTAGTCTTGGTTGGGCCGTGCATAGACGTGATTTCCCTTCAAGACATAAATCGTGGAGAAGAATGGATTCTTTATGGTGGTTATCACCCTGACAAGACAATGCTGTGATTTGGCGACACCAATAGTAGATGTAGAAGTGAAAGCGTAGGTGGAAGAACGCACATCACCGAAAGATGCTGTTATAAATACATATGGTTCTGTTGTTCCTCAGAAGCGAAGTGTGTGGGCTCTCACGACAAGAACTAAGGGAAAAGCAATAAAGAAGACAGTGAAGCCTTTGCTTCTACCGCAGCATGACAACGGATGTCATGGCGGCTACAAAGGCCCTAGAATAGCCCAAAACTCAGAAATTCAACACTGCGTGCGTCTATGGCTTAGGCGTTGCGAACGTAAAAGTTGCACCCGTGAACTTAACAGCACAGCTTTAAAACGAACCCAGGATCTTAGAACGCGAGGCAAAGGGCTTGACCCCGAAGACCTCTACGGGTCTACGGAGTCTGCAGAAATATAACCTCAAGAATCCTACATGTTGACGTCACGGCAACCCCCTTCTACAGTTATAGTGAGGATCAGACGGCTGTATGGTAACCTGAGGTCCGGAGATGTGGAGCTTGGTCCTCAGACCACAGGCTGAAGAACTCTGCCCTGTTAGACCTCTTGCGTCATAAACTGTCTATACCAGTTTATATCTGTATGCCCTCACCGGATCCTCGAACACGGAAGCTCGATGCGGGGATTGTAACTATGGCCTTTTCCTGAAACAACTGATCACATTAAACATAAACTTTTTTCACTAGGAACAGTTACAGTTACAAAGTTTTACATTCTCCAGTGTGATATGATGCTTTATTATTTGTGATAGAAGTTGGACTTTTTACACATTTCTTTGCATCATAATAAATTGAGAAGTTTCTTTAAGTAACTTAGTTAAGTTCGACTTTGGCCGGAGAACTTCGACTAACTGACTGACAGCCAAGCCAAACAAACGTCAACGAATTGAAACTTCTTCTTTAAAAGTTACCGATTAATATTTAAAGTTGTTGATTAAATCAAAATGAAGAAATCATTAACGATGTATTTTAACAGTACTTAGCGTTTGTTATAAGAAAATATTATTTTATTTAATTCAAGACGACTTTAAGTTTACTGTATAGTGTATAGTATAGTATTAAAACTCAAAACTGAAACTTTACTGCTTTAGTTTCAATTAAATTAATAATAATATAATATTGATAATTAAAAAGTTTTTAGTGATGCAGCAAAATACGGACTGTGAAGGGTTAACAAGTTGTTAAACATTTCTTGCCAAAAGAAAACAGTATAAACACATTTCTAGTATCTAGATAACCTGTTACTGAGAGAATGTCTACAAGAAACAGATCCAAGGAGTTCAAGAAAGGCATTAAGGCATTCATAAAACACGTTGAATCCCTGGAGAGTTCAGATGATGGCTTCATTGATGAATATGTGGTACGTTTATTCTATTCTCTGCCATAATCACAATAAATATATATATATATGTGTTTGTATGTATATATTACACACACACATACACATTTATATATATAGCTATTGTCATTATTATGATTATTTATACCTTATATTTTCTGTCTTTAGTTGTCTTCTTGTCTTTATTTTTATTGTGTTTTGAAATGTTTAGATAGATTCCATAGCTCATGCTCATGTTCTCGTATGTTTTAACCGATTGAACTGTTCATATAAAGCCACATTGTTCCCGGTTGAATTAAAAAAAAAAAATTAATTTAAAAAAAGTAAAAAGTTCATGTGTTGACACCCCTCCATGCCATGATGAAAGACTGTCAAGAATCTTCTCACATTGTCTTCTTCTGTCTCTCTTTCCACAAGATGTTCCAGTTTCCTTCTTCTCATATAGTGATACAAAAATGACAACTCTCTCTTTCTGATGTTTGTAATGCAGTTATTGTAACTGACTCACAGAGCATGTTGAGAAAGGTGAAAAAAAGGCATATCCTTTGGAAATTTTCTTCAGGTCATGCCAGTGTGTTGCGAAATAAGTGGGCAGATAGACTGGCTGGCTCTGCACCACTTGGTGGGGAACTGTTGTGTAAGTTAGATATTGTGAGGGCCCTTTGGGAGCAAGTCAACAGTGCAGAGGCGCAAGTAGCTCATTACGGGTCTAAGGAAAATGGCGCTGCGAGGAGTTACCAGGGGATCTGGCCGATGCTTAACACTTAGGGGAAAGAATGAGACGGATATACAATCAGATGGTTACTGGTACTTTTGAAATTGGAACTCTTTGCTTGCTGCTGAAGATGGGGACTGAGCACTTATGGAAGTGTCCCAAGTGCTGTGATGTAAATTCTCAATTCAACATTCATATAATGCAGTTTTGGCCTGTCCTTTTTTTTTTCTTTAATCAGATGTTACTCTTGGACATAGTTATGCTATTCTGTTTTTTGTCAGATGATACAGGAGGCCCAGATGGAAAATCATAGAGACAGTTTTAGTTCAATGGATGTTGGAAAACTGGAACCAAATTTGAAGAAAAATCGTTACAAAGACATTGTACCATGTAAGTGTTGTGTGTAATTGTTATCTGTTGTCTATTCACTAGATACAGATGGGTGCTGTTTCTTTTTGTTTAAAATATGATATATTGTTGTTGGTACTTCTTCTTTTTAGCATTCACCTACTCAGGCGGAAAGTTGTGGTTATTCACTCACTTCCGAACCTTGTTCTTTTTCTAGAACTTGAGTTTTATGCGCTTTACAGATCTGACTTAATTGTATGCAGACTGTTGGTTCTTCGCCTCTCAGGCAGATGCACTCCGACTTTAGAGTAAACACTCCTAATTAGTCACCTTCTGCGCCATGCTTGTTAGGGGGCTGTGGGCCTTTTCTTTTTTTCTTCCAAAATGGTGCCCAGGAACCCACACGGTGAGTTCTTGGTACCATTCCATCTTTCTAGATGATAGTGTTCCAGTGTGCTATAGGAAGCCATGAGAGTCGCAGCTCATGGCAGTGACGAATGTGACTATGATCTGTTTGCTGAGGAAAGTCAGGACAGGCATGCTTTGTTCAGAGTGGCTTGCTTCACTGCGGAGGACACGGGTGAGGAGTATTGTCTGGACTTTTTTCCCTGGGAAATGCCGGTGTGTTCGAAAATGAACAAGTAGACAGACTGGCTGGCTCTGACAGGTTGGTGGAATACTGATGCATGATAAGGCAGACGTGGTTAGTGCCTTGTGGGAGAGCGTGTACAGTTCAGAGGAGCAGATAGATCACAGTCTGGTGAGAATAATGCAGGGGGAAGGGACGAGAGGTTCTGGCAATTGCTCGAGGCTCAGAGGAAAGGCAAGACAGACGTTTAATCAGAATGCTACTGGCACCATTAGTATCAGAACTCTAAACTGGCTGCTGAAGATGGGGATGGAGGGCTTATGGGAATGCCTCGAGTGCTGTGATGTCGGTTCTTGAATCAACTCAACTCAATTATGATCCATTTTGAAATTTATAAACACAAATGGATGTTTAATATTTTAGAAACTAATGGACCGATTGCAATGAGATTTCATATCCTCATTCTAGGCGTCCACGATGTTAAGGAAATATTTTTATTTTCACTAATGAAGAATATTATGTGTAGTTTTTTTCTTCTTTATGATTCTTTATTTTTTATGAAACCATCTTGGTGGAGTTTTGGAACGTTTACTTTCATTAGTTTCAATAAGAAAGTGTTAGTAATCACACTGTAAGGGGTTCAACAGGGGGTCAAAGGAAAACTATGTCATTTCACGATTTTATTGTGCAGAGTCATACAGTTAGTAGTGACCGGAACCCAAAATAAGACATTGTTCAAGACTGCTTATTCTTCTTCTTCTTTGCGTTCACCAGCTGTACACTCTGGCGGAAAGTTCTGGTTGCTGGTCCACTACTGAACTGCAGTCCTGCTCCAGAACTTGAGTGTTGCGTCTGCATCAGTTTTACAGATCTCATTCTCTTGAATACAGACTGTTGGTTCCTTGCCTCTCCGGCAGATGCACTCGACTTCAAAGGAAGCTCCCCAATTAGTCGACTCTTACGACATGCTTTTGGGGAGGCAGTGGGTCTATTTTTGTTTTCCCCACAATGGGGCCCCGGAACCCACACCGGGGAACTGCTTATTTCAAGGTGGTATCCACAAATTAGTGTCGAGTTATTGTGTCATATAGTTAACTGATTAAAACTGATATAGACATAACATTTCAAAATGAGTTTGAGGTGTAAATGTAAAACTATGCAAGGTGTTACCATTTTCGGCAATATAAGTGGGTCATTTATATTGTGAGATTCATGACCCAGATAAATTAACGAAATTGGTGCTTGGTCTGGATAAGGCATCATTTATGATGAAGATACGCATCTGAAACACAAATGAACTAGAACTTGAAACATGTTAACTGTAAAATCTAAAATTTCATTCTACTTATTTACAGTGGTTCAAAAACATCAGAGGAACTGGCTGATTAAAAAAATACTCAGCATTTGTGTAATAGCAATATTTTTACATTGTGGATATTGAAAGGCGGCATGCAAAAAATCATTGCCGTCTAACAGACAGTATTCTTGAAAATAGATTGGATACGTGTTCGTGAATTTCTGAAAAAACTTTAGCAAGACCAGCTTGTGTTGACAAGAAACTTCTATAATAAATGTATGATTTCTCCCTTGTCCCTGTTCTCTTCCTAGTTATGTATTCCAAATATTTTTGTCTTCTTTTGTTTAAATTTTATTTTCTTTGGTAGCTTTCATTTTACTCTTTGTCTCTTCTGAACCTCTGTATTTGTTCTTTGTTTCCATGAAATATTATCTGTTCTTCTGTTACCCACATTTCATATACTCAGTATCATTTTCTGGTCGTTTGTTCATTGTTCAGGAGGGCAACCGTGGTGTAGTAGCTAGATGCTCGCCTGGGGATCGGCAGGTCATGGGTTCGGGTCCTGATGGAGCTGGACTTTCTTTCAACAATGACCTTGGCTCCCAGGTCAGTCCGGCCTTAAATGGGTACCAGGTACAATCCATGGAAGTAAAGGCGGTCGGCATCATGTTGACCACATCCCCCACCCAGCGCCAATTGGTCTATAAAATATAGGTGCAGCCCTATCTGCCCGGTATGTTTATAGGCGTGGAATAGGGTCCTGTACTTTACTTGTTCATCTAGCATGAGAATGGGGGTGTTGAACTGTAAGGGGTTCAGTAGGGGGTCAAAGGAAAACCATGCAATTTCACAATTTTCTTGTGCAAAGTCATACTTTCATACACATGTCGTAATTGTAACAGACTCTGAAGGCATGCTGAGAAAGGTGAAGACAGGGATGCTTTGAGCAGAGTGGCAAGCTTCACTGGGAAGATCATGGGTAGTGAGCATACTTTGGATCTTATCTCCAGGCCATGCCGGCGTAGTGGGTAATAAACAGAAGACAGATTGGCTGGATCTGCACCAATGGGTGGTGAATTGATACATGACAAGGCATATGTGATCAAGGCCCTTTGGGAACAAGCAACGGAATCAGTAGAGAAACAAGATTATTATGGCCTGGAGAGAATGAGGCACCTGGGTGTAACCAGATTGTCTGGCCGGCTCACTACACTCAGTGTAAAGACAAGACGGACATATAACCAGATTGTGACCGATACTATCAGTATTGGAACTCTGCGCTGGCTGCTGAAGATGAGGACGAAGCACACATGGGAATGTCTCGAGCGCTGTGATGTCAATTCTGGACTCAACTCAATTTTAATGTGTGGTTAATCTGAATTTGTGATAGAAAAGAAAACCAGCTACACCGATGCTCCTTCAAACAATCAATTAAAAGAGCCAGCTCTGCAATGCTACTGGAACTTTGACGAATGTTACTGAAGCAGTCGATCATTGTAATAAGTGTTTGGACTGTAACAGAAAGCATGGTGAGAAAGCTAGAAGACAGGCAAACTCCCTGCATTTTTAGCATCTTTTGGATCTTTTTTCCCATGGTATGCAGATGTGTTGGGAAATGAACAGGCAGACAGATTGTCTAGTGCTGCACCCATGGGTGGTGATTTGATACATAACAAGCTAGACATGATCATGACCATTTGAGTACAAGTAAACAATGTGGATGTTCAAATAGATCATCATAGTGCAACGTTGAGTGATGAAGCGATCTGGCCGACACTAAATTTAGAGGATTGGTACAACGGGCACACAGTCAAACTGCTGTTGGTACCATCAGCATTGGAACTCTTCACTTAATGCTGAAGTCTGGTAGTTTAGTTACAGCTTCATAGCAAACGGGTCACCCCATCTTTGCTCCGCTCCTGTGCCAACGAAAAACACACAGAATGTTTATCACAGTATTAGAATTGTAGTTCATCATTGATGGTAGCAGAAGTCGCCAACAGATCAGCAGTTGCCCACGCGATCAATTTTAATCACATACGGGCACCACAACACTGCACGACAGGCATCGCGCCATTTTCTGAATCTACAATTCACACCAACACGTTGGTCACAGTCGAAAAAACATTCCAAATGCAATCTGCAGCTCACAGTGTCACGCCATGCATTCAACTCAAAAGCTGGGCGACGAAAATATATCCAGTCTACAAATGGAGCAAAAATGCATCGGCCACCGTCTGGCAGAAGCAAAAAATTTGCCTGTTTCGAATAGTGCCGCTGCCTACTTAATGCTGAAGATAAGGACAGAGTGCTTATGGGAATGTCCCGACTGCTTGATGTCACTTCTTAACTCAACTGAACTGAATGCTAACGGTAACCACTTTGATCACCTTTATAATTGTAGAAGTCAAAGGTAATCTGATTCACATCTTGTTCTCTGTGCAAATTGAGACTAATAATTTTTATGCATGTTTTTCTTTTGCTGAAATAGTGTGTGTGTGTGTCTTAGCTGACTATTTATTTACACATGTGTGTGTATGCGCGTAGGTGCATGCATGCATGCCAGTGTGTGTATGTATGCTGTATTTATATTGTATAAATGTGTACGTTTATACATGCTGGCAGGGGTACACTTCATCAACACAATACTAAAGAATCAAGTTGTCATTTCTCTTTTCAGATGATGAATATAGAATTGTTCTTGGGCATAGTGAAGGGGATGAATGCTCAGATTACATCAATGCAAGCAAAATTAAGGTATGTCTTAGTTTACACGTTTTAGAGCAGCGGTTCTCAACCTTCCTAATGCTGCAGCCCTTTAATACAGTTCCTTATGTTGTGACGACCCCCAACCATAAAATTATTTTCATTGCTACTTCATAACATCAGTGAATATGTGTTTTCCGGTGGTCTTAGGTGACCCCTGTGAAATGGTCGTTTGACCCCCTAAGGGGTTGGGACCCACAGGTTGAGAACCGCTGATTTAGAGGTTTGTTTCTTTGAATAATGAAGTCAGAAATAATAGACTGCACAGTTTATTGCCTGTAGCTCAACAGGTGACACTTCAGAATTAGGTCAACATACAAGGGTATCGACCCTCATGATCTTGAGTTTGAAATCATATCAAGACAGATTTTTCATAATTGTTCTGGTTCTCCCAGATTCATCATCCTTTGTGTGCCATTAGACGTCCCATCGAGCTTGTATTTGATTCCTTTACCCCACTCTGTTGCATATAACTCTCGATTTCTAAAATAGAATTCAGCTCAGCATTTTTAGCCTTTCGTAGTAACTTTTTTCCTAATGTTTCCCTTGAACGTCCTCCCTTTCTCAGATTGTTTTCCATTTCAGTGCCTGTTTTGTAATTCTTTGCTCATTTCATCTCAGATTGTGCCCACTCTTCCTGTCTGCAGTCAATACACGTATCTCTCTAGACATTTCTCTGATCTCCTCACTCTTTTTAAATTCATCCCATTCATGACTTTTCTCCTTTATTTTATTTTTTAATGCACTTAACTTTCCATTCTATATGTTTGGTGGTTTTCCCACTTTTGCTAGCATTTGTTAGAATTAAAATAATATTAGAACTGAAGATTCATAGTTTTATCTGAAAGCTGTGTATCTTGGAGCTCCATACTTTGTTAAGGTTTTTAATAACTGGATATTATAATTTCCTTGAGTTGTAATTCCATGAGAGTCAAAACTGGCAACAAGACATATATTTGTCATATTTGTTCTGGGGCTCCTAGATGACCTAACCTAAAGAAGGAAATGTCATGGGAAGTAAAGGTAATGTTTAAGTCATCTATCGTGTGATGATTGGTTATAAAAACATGTGACTAGCACAAATGAATGAGTGTTTTAATTTTTTTCACATTTAAAAGTGAATCCATTTTCTAAGGTACCTGATTTGATTCCACCTGCAGGCGATTTGGCAGCAGATCACTGGGCATTAATTTTGATAATGATATTAAGAGCCCCGATCCTTCAGATAACAGTAGCAGATTACTGAATATAGAAAGGACATAATCATCATAGATCGTGATATGACAGTAATAAATTGTTGCATTTGTTTATATTCTGCCATTATTTCCCCAGGGAGTCAACGGTACTGTAGATTACATCGCTTCTCAGGGGCCATTGTCAGGGACAGTGAACGACTTCTGGAGAATGATATGGGAGTATGATGTTGAGATTGTCTTCATGGCTTGTAAACTGGTGGAGATGAAAAAGGTGAGTTTGATATGTTAATATAAAATATTATCTGAGACACAGCTGAAGATCTAGGGTTCAAATCTGCACCAAGGTGGGTGATTAAAAAGAGAGACCTTTGCTCCCAGGATAATCCAGTCTAAAATGGGTACCTGGTAATGTCTTGGGAAATAAAGGCAGTTGAGAGGCAGTTGATCTATACAATTTAGGTCTAACAATATTTGCTTGAGGCGCCAAAGACCTGAAAGGGGTAATCACCCTCCCCCACTTGATATCTGAGAGCCACTGTGGTGTAACGTCTAGATGTTCACCTTCAGATCCAAAAGTTGAGGGTTCAAACAAGAATAAACTCACTGCCTCCCCAACAAGCATGTTGTAAGAGTTGACTAATTTGGAGCTTCCTTTCGAAGTCGGAGTGCACCTGCCTCAGAGACAAGAAACTGACAGTCTGCATACAGATAAGCATACAGATCTTTAAAACAGATGTGCATGCAAAACTCAGTTTCTTGTGTTAGACTAAAGTTCAGAGGTGGACAAACAACCAAAACCTTCCACTAGAGTTTACAGCTGGTGAATGCGAAGAAGAAGAAGAAGAAATCCTAACGAAGCCAGACTTTTATTTCAAAACTGACCTTGGCTCCCAGCTCACTCCACCCAAAAATGGGTACCAGGTAAAGACCTAGGAAGTAAAGGCAGCTGGCGTGATGATGACCACATCACGCACTGAGTGCTAATTGGTCTATAAAAGTATAGGTCTCGCACTTTACGCCTGATATCCCAAAGACATGAAAAGGGTATTTTTTCCCCTCTTCTGAATATCTGGGTCACAGTCATAATGTCCCATTCAAAAGAAAAAATGTAAGTCCAGGCTGTAAACTCTGGTTGGAAAGTTCTGGCTGTTTGTTCTCTTCTGGACTTAAGTCTTGTTTCAGAACTTTAGGTTTGCATGCATATCAACCCAACAGTTTGCATACAATTAAGCCAGATCTGTAAAATGGATGTGCATGCAAAACTCAAGTTCTGGATCAAGTCGAAGAGTGGTTAAACAACTAAAAGTTTTCTCTGAAGTTTACAGCCGGTGAATGCTAAGGAGAAGAATTCATCATCATCTGAAGAGAATGGTTCAGCATGGAGTGACGAGGAGATCTGGCTGCCACTCAACGCTCAGAGGAAAGGCAAGGTGGACATACAGTCAACCTTTGGAAACGAATGAACAGCACGGAGGTGCCGATAGATCATTACGGTCTAGGAGAAGAGGAGAATGGCGCTGCGGGGGAGTTACTAGGGGATCTGACCGACGCTCAACACTCAGGGGAAGGATGAGAACGGATATACAATCAGACTGTTACTTCAGCCTTCGGAATTGGAACTTTTCGCTTGCTGGTGAAGATGGGGGACGGAGCCCTTATGGGAGTGTCCCGAGTTCTCTAAAAGTTGATTCTTAATTCAACATTCAGTTTTCAACAGTCAGGCTGCTGCTGGTACTACTGGATTTGGAATCTGTACTAACTAGTGAAGATGGGAACAGATCACCTGTGGGAATGTCCCAATTGTGATGATGTCCATTGGTTAGCTCAGCTGAGCTCAGCAGATTGTGGTGGTCATATACATAAGCAGTTATATGTTGTCTCTTCTTTCATACACAGATCAAGTGCAGCCAGTACTGGGCGGATGTGGGCAGCTCCATAGAATTTGGAAACATCACAGTGCTAACTGTAAGTCTGACTAGATTGTGTGGGAGAGAAGGGTGTGTTGATGAAATGTGGGAGAGAAGGGTGTGTTGGTGATGTATGGTAAAGAATAGTATGTTGATTTGTTGGAGAGAATGGTTTGTTGGTGAAATGTTAGAGAGAAATGTGTTGGTATTGTATGGAATAGAATCAAAGGTTAGCAGTGTGTGTTAAAGAGTGGTGTGTTGGACAGTATAGTGTACTGGTGGTGTGTGGAAGAGAATAGGTATTGGTGATGCACACACAGACATACTCACACAGACACACACACACACAGTTACAAAACACAGAGACACACGCAGCTAAACACACAGACACACACACACATACAAAAGATTCAGCTTTATTTTTAAAAGGTAAGTAATGACAGAAAGAAATGCTGATATAAAAAAAAAACCGGATGAAAGGCAGTGAAAGAAAAAATCAAGAGAAAAAGAGAAATTATGGTAGAGTTTGAGAGAGATAGCATGAGAAATAGATTCAGTAACCACACAACATAATGTAGTGATCTAGAATGCCTGAAAGCTTAACTCTTTCAGGCCCATGAATTTTGACAGACTTGGCCCAAATTAATTTCCTTTTAGAAAAATGGCAGAGGGGTGGGTGCACAAGAAAGGCTATAGAGATTGTAATATACTTCTAATCCCTATAAAAGTGTATATTTTTTACAAGAGAAATGAATGTACATTTTAAATCTGATGATATAAGTGTTTGTTTAATTTTGTTATAGTTAGTGGGAAAGAAGAATTCAGCAGGTGTTAATTTCACAAGGACAACATTTAACAAAAAAATTCTTCACTTACCATGGTTTTGCAGCCACAAGAGTAGTAAATATCCAAATTTGAGAACAAAACTTCAAAGTTTGTTTAATTTCCTAAGATATTCCAAAGTTATAATACCTTTCTGGGTAAGTTTAGCACTCAGGAGCTCTTAGTTCTTACAGAGTGCTGAGCAAAATTTCAGAGAAAAAATGGCAGAAAAATAAGCCATTATATACACACACTATTCACTATTTACTTTGTACAGTTGTTAACAGACAGTAGCTGCGATGATTTTAGTGTAGCTTAGCCATAGTATAGTACTGTCTCTTTGTTTAGAGCATTTTTCTTTTCTTACACCATAAATACTGTAGTATGGGACATTGTTTGTGTAATAAACTTATCAGAATCGCTAGATTCAGAACAGCTGATCGCTCAGCTTCACTGGTGAAAATTCACCCTCCGAATCACTTTCTGAAAAATCTAAATTTGTATTATTAATATCACAATTAAGACCATCTGACTGAAACATTTTCAGAGCTTCGGCCGTAGAAAGACGCATTCTGCGACCTGTACTAGTAATTGGAACATTGGTATTCATGGCACTCAAAAACAAACTTAGAAAATGAAAAAAAAACATTTGCTGTGTTTTCTCTCAAATTATCCATGTGTGGTTTAGTCCAGGAAATGAAACTAAAAGGATTTCGGCAGAGTGACTTTCCCTGAATAGTTTAATCGTACCTCCAAACATTAGAAACTAGTACGAAGCCGCGTGCGAAGCAAAATGTAAGGGACACACAATTGATGATGACACTATTGTTTGGGCAAAACGGAACTCTCTCAAACAACGCTCACACCGTAGTTTGGGCCTCAGAGAGTTAATACAAGACATATTCCTTTAGAAACATTTAGAAACACATGAATCAGTCCTCATGGGGACTGAAGAAAGTCATAAACCTATTAGAACTAATAGAAGTAGACAGGCAGTGTTTTTAGACATGTAATTTGGGCAGTAATGTAGATAAAGATGGAGGAACTGATAGAGATATGAAAATAAGAACACAAAAGGCAAGAGGGGCTTTCATAGCACTAGGGAATTTGTGGAGGTCAAAAGAAATTAAAAGAAATACTAAACTAAAAATTTTTTATTGGGGCGGAAACATGGAGAACAACGAAGGCAATTACTAATAAATTACAGACATTCATTAACTGGTGCCTGCGCAGAATAGAGGGAATAAAATGGTATGATAGAATAACTAATGTAGAACTTTGGGAGAGAGCTAAACAGGCTCCAGTGGATCAAGAGGTGATGAAAAGACACTGGCGTTGGATAGGGCACACACTGAGAAAACAGGAGAACAGCATAACTAGAATGTCTTTGCATTGGAACCCACAGGGGCATAGGAATAAAGGAAGGCCAAAAAACACATGGAGAAGAGAGCTGGAGAATGAGGTTAGAAAGATTGGGAGGACATGGGGAGAGCTCCATGTAATGGCGAAGGATAGAACGACTTGGCTTGAGTTGGTTAAGGGCCTATGCTCCATTGGGGGATAAAAAGGCAGAAGATGAAGAAGAATGAGAAGGAAAGGACTTGGGAACTTGGAAAACAACTGACAAGATTGATGGGATGAGAACAAGAGGAAGTAAAAGTAAAGATCCCTTTTCAAGCCTTTAGGCAAATAGGTAGAGCACCCATTTTTTTACAGACCAGTCATCTTTACTTCCCCAGGACACACATCCTGGTACCCATTTAAGGCTGGGTCGGCCTGCGACGCCCCATACCACGATAAAAATCCATGCAGCCAGTAGTGGGTTTTGATTGTGATACGTTGGAGTTACGAGCCAGACTCGCAACACCTAAGCCACGGACGCTGCTAAACAAGAGGAAGGCAAATAGATAAATACCTGGATGGTTTGGTCAGATGAATGGGGTGAGACAAAAATATTGACCTGATCTTTGATTGTGGGGATTATGTGAGATGGCAAAACATGACAAGTTATGCTTACCAGCACGGCACATGATGACGACGACGATGATCTATTTAGAATATCTACCATAGGACAATTTGTATACATGACTGCATTCTACCATAACAGGTGTCCGAACAAGAAATTTTCGCTGAATGTATACAGCGAACCTTTCGTGTAACAGATGGAAACACGGTGCATAATGTGACACAGTTACACTACTGTGGATGGCCCGACCACGGTATCCCAAAAAACCCGGATGATATCCGCAATATAATCGGCATAATGAGAAGCAGTAAACAGAATGTCAAGGCTCCTGTTTTAGTTCACTGCAGGTAATTATACATACTGTCTTTTCTCTAGATATTGTTATGGACATTGTTTGTGATGTGAACCAGGGCTATAGACAAGAGTCGTAAGTGTTGTTAAATATTGAGCCAAGAACAGACCTCACAGCGTTCAGGTCATTACCATATGTGCTCTGTCCTCATCTTTAGCAGCCAGCGAAGAGTTCCAGTTCTGATGGTGCCAGCAACTGTTTGATTGTATGTCCCTCTTGCCTTTCCCCCTGAGTGTAGTGTGGCAAAAAAAAATTTCTTTGTCACTCCTAGCTGTACAGTTCTTTCGTCTCCACATTGTGTCGAAAATATCCCATTGTCACTCCTAGCTGTACAGCTCTTTCGAGTCCACATTATGTCGAAAAAAATCTCATTGTCACTCCTAGCTGTACAGCTCTTTCCAGTCCACATTGTGTCGAAAATATCTCATTGTCACTCCTAGCTGTACAGCTCTTTCGAGTCCACATTGTGTCGAAAAAATCTCATTGTTACTCCTAGCTGCAGTTTTTTTCCGTACACATTGATCTGTTCATGCCTTCACATTGTCCACTTGATGTCAAAGGGCCTTGACTACATATAGCTTATCATGCATAAATTCATCACCCACTGGGGCAGAACCAGCCAGACTATCTGACCTGTTCTTTTCCCAACACTCCTACTTGACCTGTAGAAAATATCAAACGAGCAGACAAGAGTTTTTAAATGAATGAATCAAGGATTGACATCACTGCATTTGGGTATTCCCCCATCTACTGTGTGTCCTTTCTCAGTAGCCAGCAAGAGTTCCCATACTTACTAAATGTGCCTTGCAACCTGATTAAACACCTGTCTATCTTATCTTGTCTGTGTTGAAAACTATCTTTACCCATCTATTTACTTCCAGTCTTTTGAGGTAGGGATACCCTGCCTGTTCTGTTGCACTGTCCACTTGATCCTAGAGTCTTCAGCCCATCTACTTTGTCATAAAGTAGCAAACCAGGGGGGGGGGGGGCAGTTGCTAGTCTATCAGCCTGCTCAGAATTGTGGAGATGCATTGCAGTCAGTCTTCAGCTGTGGAGAAGGCACATGGGTTGATTTGCGATATGGGATTGAAAGGGGGAAATGTGAGTCAGAGGTTCTGAATCATACATGGTGGTGGACCAGGGCTCATACCAGTTATAATCTATCTACACCTGTCAGCAGTCATCCTAGAAATATGTTCCTTACAAGGGGCCTGGTCAACGTTGATAGGGTCACTGTTTCACTGGAAACTATGCCCGGAAGTAAGCTAGGTCTGAACGGCATTCAAGTTCAGAAGTGGATAACAACCAGGTCTTTTTATTGGAATTTACTGCTGGTGAGGGCTAAGACGGAGGAAGAGAAGAGGAAGACATTGTATTCATTTTCTAAGGAAAGTTTGACAGTCACAGTATTAAATGTTGAATTAGGAATAGACATCACTGCACTTTGGACACTCCCATAAGCGCCCCGTCCCCATATTCAGCAACAAGTGAAGAGTCCCACTTCCGATGGCATCATTAACTGTTTGATTTTTTTTTTCTTTTTTGTTGTTGCAACCTTAGTTCCCTAGTGGAGCATGAGCCCTCAACCTTCTCATGCAAAGTCTTGTTTAGACTTAATGAAAGTTGGTTAGCAATTGCAGTTGAAGCTCTGTTTAGTATGTGTTAGCAAACTCCTTAACCCGCCCTTATCTTTAGACCCACTTACGACGTGGCTGGGTGGCTGCAGTGTAACTATTGCTCATTCTGTCTCAACTGTTAATTTAGCTCCTCCTATTATTTAAACTACTCCAGACCTAAACTGTTGTTTACTCTAAAATAAAACTGCATGCAGTAAGAAACAGTTAGCTAACACCCCCTTGACAGTCTAAACATCCAGCATAACTTTATAAAAAAAATTTTCACATTATCCACATGCCAAAACCTGCTTCTCCCACCTCTCTTATTGTCTAGTATTCTTTTCTTGCCTCACATATGATAACAGTTAAGAAATTAAGCATCTAATTTGACATTGTTATCTCTTATTTTTCTTCTTTCAGTGCTGGTTGTGGGCGAACTGGGACCATTATTGCTATTGACTATGTGTGGACACTCCTAGAAAATGGGGTCAGTTAAACTTTTTTTGGTTCTGGTTTTGAGTAGTTACATTTTATTATAATCAAGAGAACAAGGCTTTTTTGTGTGACTGCTTTTTAGATGCGGTAATTTTTGGGGGGAAATCACTTTTGAGGAATTAGGTATTTATTGTTTTTATTTATTAGATAAGTATTAATAGTTTATGACACAGACCTCTGATCTACCATGACAGTACGTGGCTCGCTGTACAAGCCTGTGACAGACAGACTATCCAAACTCCCATGGAGCACAAATAAAAATGTTTAATGCAAAGCACAGACTAACAAAACACAGTTGACTTCAGTAGAAGTGGGTAGCCTTACGAATCACAGGCCGCATTGGCTTTACAACTTACCATGCACGCCTTCCTGTCCCCATTGATAATACTTAGGTCCAAACCCAAAATGCTCCAAATTCACTTTTTTTTCGGATGCTACTGGACTCCACCAGGATCGCGCAGTGACCACAAAGTGAGACGCAGTGTGCAGAGGATAGGCATTATCACAGCAGCCAGTCCAAAACCAACCCTGACTACCAGAATACTGTAACATGACTTATGTGATACGTTATTCAAAATACTATCACTGTCAAACACTACAAAACTCAGAAAGACTTTGATACCCTAACGAAACACATTATCCGATGTAAAAGGCAGAAAGTCAGACCCTTTTCAAATAATTTCTGCTTTAAAGAAAGGTGATGATCTGTCACCACTTCTTTTCAACTTGGAGGGGAGGAGAGGCAGAAGGAGATTTAGAGAAAAGATGCTGGACAGTTTGTCATGGCATGGAGGATCATCTTTGTCAGAGTTGATTGAAAACACTCGAGACAGACGGTTGTGGAAAGACATGACTACCACCGCCACACGGCATGGAGGATCATCTTTGTTAGAGTTGATTGAAAACACTCGAGACAGACGGTTGTGGATAGACATGACTACCACCGCAACATGGCATGGAGGATCATATTTGTCAGAGTTGATTGAAAACACCCGAGACAGAGGGTTGTGGAAAGACATGACTACCACCGCCACACGGCATGCACTTTAGGAGGAAGAAGATTGATGGTTTACATTTATTGAATAAGTATTACTATTTTACATTTATTGGATAAGTATTAATAGTTTACATTTATTGGATAAGTATTAACGGTTTACATTTATTGGATAAGTATTAATGGTTTACATTTATTGGATAAGTAATAATGGTTTACATTTATTGGATAAGTAATAATGGTTTACATTTATTGGATAAGTAATAATGGTTTACATTTATTGGATAAGTAATAATGGTTTACATTTATTGGATAAGTAATAATGGTTTACATTTATTGGATAAGTAATAATGGTTTACGTTTATTGGATAAGTAATAATGGTTTACATTTATTGGATAAGTAATAATGGTTTACCAGAGCAGCCGTGGTCTAGCAGCTAGACGCTCGTCTGCGGATCGGAAGGTCATGGGTTTGGGTCAGACTTTTTTCAAAAATGACCTTGGCTCTCAGGTCGACCCAGCCTTTAGTGGGTACCAGGTACAGCCCTGGGAAGTAAAGACAGTCAGCCTGATGCTGAGCACATCACCCTACAAGTGCCGTTTGGTCTATAAACTATAAACTATAGGTCTAGCCCTATTTACCAAGTACGCCTGAAGGCGTGGAAAAAGTGTCTTTTATTATAGTTTACGTTTATTGGATAAGTAATAATAGTTTACGTTTATTGTATAAGTAATAATAGTTTACGTTTATTGGATAAGTAATAATAGTTTACGTTTATTGGATAAGTAATAATGGTTTACGTTTATTGGATAAGTATTAATAGTTTACGTTTATTGGATAAATATTAATAGTTTACGTTTATTGGATAAATATTAATAGTTTACATTTATTGGATAAGTATTAATAGTTTACATTTATTAGATAAATATTAATAGTTTACTTTTATTGGATAAATATTAATAGTTTACGTTTATTGGATAAGTATTAATAGTTTACATTTATTAGGTCATGTCGGAATTCCATAGTGTGAACAGATTTTTCTCTTGCAATTCTTTCTGTGCCTCTAACTTTGCAAACAGAAGACATCTTTGTAAATTACAAACTTATGTGGTAAACCTGAAATAGTAATGTCATTTATTTTAGCTAAAAATTCATTATTATATTTGGTGGTAGATTTAATTATGTGGTATACACCTGATGTAATACATCAGAATATCGCAGCCAGTAAATGATACAACCTGTTTGTTGATTATTCAGATTTGCACTAGCAAAATGTTGTTTCAAACTAATTTTTTTTTCTTCTGGGTTTTCAGAAATTTGATGAGTCTTTCAGTCTTTTTGATTTGATTTGTAACTTGAGGAAACAGAGAGTATCACTTGTACAGACCCCAGTGAGTATTAAACAGATACGTTATCATATTTTTGTTTTCCATGTGGGTTCCGTGGCCATATTGGGGGGGGGGGGGGGGGAAGGAATAGACTCATTGCTCCTTGACAAACATAAAAAAACATCAAATGAGACCAATTAAAGATTTGCTGAGATCAGATATTTTCTACTGAAAGGTGCAGATATCACAGCCTAGCTTTAAACTACAGTACAAAACTCCAACTGTACTTTAAGGGTGAATGCAGCAGAAGAAGAAATGTTCATATCTCAGTTTTGTGGTTGAATTGTTGGCGTTTTTTAATAGAAAATTCAGGATCAGCTTTGTATTTTTGAAGATAAAGAAACATTCTATAGGAGACTGCAAGAGATAGTAGATAAAGTACCAGCCCATGATATTCTATGTATTATGGGAGATCTCAATGCAAAAGTTGGTAACAGCTTGAATAGAGTACTATCAATGGGAAATCAAGGATGTGGTACAATTAATGACAACGGGGAAAGACTGAGCGACTTCTGTACGGCGAATAGACTTGTTATAGGAGGAACACTCTTTCCTCACAAGAAAATACACAAGCTTACATGGATATCCCCAAACAGAAGAGATGTAAACCAGATCGACCATTTCATGGTAAACAGAAAATGGCGTGGGTCCCTACTCGATGTGCGTGTCAAAAGGGGAGCAGATGTGGGAAGCGATCATCACCTTGTAGTCGGTCTACTACGACTTAAACTCAAAAATGTTTACACGCAAGTTAAGACACAGACAGCACGTTACAATGTTAACCTTTTAAGAGAAAAAGACATTGCCACTAAATTTATAGTAGAACTCAAGAATAGATTTCAAACCCTATCAAGCGACCCAGAAACTCCAACTACAATCAGCATTCAAGACAGATGGAAACAGATCAAAGAAACATACAAATCAACTAGCAATAACATATTAGGAACCAGGAAACAACACCACAAAGAATGGATAAGTAGTCAAACAATGGACTATATTGCCAAGCGAAAAAGAATAAAGAGCCTCATAAATCACACTAAATCAGAACGTCAGAAAGACAAACTAATGTTAGAATATAGCGAACTAAATAAAATGACCAAGAAAAGTGCCAGAGCTGACAAGAGAAGATTTATGGAAAATCTTGCAGAAACAGCAGAAAATGCTGCTAAAGCACAGCACATGATCTACAAACCCTACACAAAATTACCCAGCAAATTTGCGGAAACAGAAACAATTATCAAAGCATACCCATCAAGGATAACCAAGGCAGACTGCTCACCACAGAACAAAAACAAGACATGCAGTGGACTAAACACTTCTCCGACCTCTTGAACAGACCTGATCCTGAAAATCCCCCAGATATTCAACCAGCCTCTCAGGACATTGACATTATTACTGAACCACCAAGCAAACAAGGAATTCTCAAGCTCTCCACACTTTAAAGAACAACAAAGCACCAGGCAAAGACGAAATGCCAGCAGAACCTCTCAAAATAGATCCCAACACAACTTCTAGCATTCTAGAACCATTGTTCAAGGATATTTGGGAAAAAGAAGTGTTGCCAGATGACTGGACTGAAGGAACAATAGTCAAAATCCCCAAAAAAGGAGACTTAACAGACTGCAATAATTCGAGGGGAATTACTCTACTCTCAGTACCAAGCAAAATATTTTGTAAAATCATCATAATGCGGCTTGAAAAAGGAGTAGATAAATGCCTACGAGTGGAACAAGCAGGATTCAGAAAGGGCAGAGGAACAACTGAAAACATCTTCGCCATACGTAACATTTTAGAACAATGCAACGAATGGCAGAGAAGTATAAATATTAATTTTGTGGACTTTGAGAAAGCTTTTGACAGCGTACATAGAGACGGTCTATGGAAAATTCTACGACATTATGGAATTCCAGAAAAAATAGTCAACATAATTGCTCTCTTCTATAAAGACTTTTCCTGCAGTATAAAAAAATTACAATACATTTTTTCCAGTAAAGACAGGTGTAAGACAGGGATGTGTTATGTCATCTCTCCTATTCAACCTTGTGATTGATTGGATACTAAAGAACACAGTAGACAGGAAATTAAGAGGCATACGATGGACTCCATTCACCATGCTTGAGGACCTTGATTTTGCAGATGATATAGCACTCCTATCACATAAACATGAACATATACAAGAGAAAAGTAACAGACTAAACTGCACAGCAGAAATGGTGGGACTGAGAATAAATACAAAGAAAACTAAGATCATGACAAACAGTCCAAACCAACAACCAGTGACCATAAGTAACCAATCACTTGAAAATGTAGAACAATTCACATATCTTGGCAGTGTGGTGTCCCTACTGGGAGGGACAGAGGAAGACATACAGTCACATCTGAACAAAGCTAGAGCTGCTTTTGGAAGGATGAGGCAAATCTGGAAATCCAACAATTACTGCAGAGGAACGAAACTCCGACTCTACAAGAGCATCATTTTGCCAGTTCTTCTTTTTGGAGCGGAATGCTGGAGAATGACCAAAAAAGATGCACACAAGCTGTCCACCTTCCACCACACATGTCTACGTAGAATTATCAAAATTTTTTCTGGCCAGATACAATCTCAAACACTAAACTACTTCAAGCCACAAACCAAGAAACTTTATACAGTATGATTACCAAGAGAAGATGGAAATGGCTTGGCCCTGTTATGAGAATGACTTCTGATATACCTGCCAAAACAGCTCTCACATGGACACCAGAGGGAAAGAGAAAACAGGGGCGCGCAAAAACAACATGGAGACGAACGATGGAAAGTGATCTGAGTGCGGCATCTTTGACATGGAAAACTGCACTGAAGATTGCACAGGACAGGAAAGCATGGAAAGTCCTCTCTGAAGCCTCATGAGCCACTAGGCATAACGAGAACTGATGATGATTTGTATTTTGTGTCGCCTGTGTGTAAGAGATGCCGTACATCACTTTCTGCATGCTGCCTTACGGGGTTGATCTTTTTTTCATCAGCATCATCAGGTGCCCTGCCAACTGGCATAGGCGCTCATGCGTCTCCATAGATCATGATCCCTGGTTGCCTGGAACAGCTCTGTTGATGATATCCCTCCATGTCATCATTTCAGCCTATCCAGCATCATCTCTCTTGGTCTGCCTCTACCCTCTTTTTCACTGATCTTTCCAGTTGTCACGATGTTCTCCAATGTCTCTCTTCTCATTATGTGGCTAAAGAACAGTGTGTATCTCTTTCATTAGCTTCTTTCAAGCAATCATTGTTAGTTACTCTGGCCGTCCAAGGTATTGGTAACATTTGTCACAGAAACCACATCTATGTTGCTTCAAATTCTTCCTAATTTGTTCACTGACATTCCAAGATTCGCTGCCAAACAGCAGAACAGGTTATCTTTTTAGATGAAGGTATCGGAGTCAAACCATACATAAATCAGCAGAAGACAAGGTTAAACTACTATTGTTAAAATGGTTCATAAAACAGACATCCTGACTCTTTTAGTACTATGCAGCCCACTCATTATATGTTCTTTGGATGGTTCAAAGACAGAAGACATTTATTGCTCTTTTCTATACTCAGCACAAAGGATGGGGACAGGGGGTGGAATAAAAGTTGATAGCGGCGCTTAGCTGGCAGCTATTTCAGGCATGACCATGAAGATAGCTACTGCTTCCAGAGCACTTACATATGCATCAAGACAAGCGACCACACGTGCAGTAATTGTTTCAGACTCGATGAACATGCTTCAGAAAATCACAACAAGTAGTTTATACTCTGAATGGGTAGAAACCATTTGGAAGTCGCACTTAACCTCCATTGTCTGGATCTACACACCTGAGCATGCAGGAGTAATATGTAATACAAGAGCCAACCAGCTGGCAAGTAATGCACCAGTGCAAATGCGAAGAAGTATGGACAGAGCTGGTATCATCCAAGGGGTTGGTGGACAATGATGAATCACTAATGCTAAACCATCTGCGTGACCTAGGAGTAAAGCTTGGTGAAGCTCATCTATGCTGTCTTCAAGGGCAAAACAAGAGACACTGTAACCAACTTCCCTAGACAGCCAAAATGAGGAATGTAAATGTTTAGAAAAGGCTAAGTTGCAAAAACATTCACAAACATTATAAACTAGCAGCCATCATATTTTATTGTTTGGCCACATCAGAAGAAAAAACTGGAAACTGAAACAACTGGCAAGATGTATAGTAACAATAGTTAAGAAAAAAAGAATGAGAGAAAATTCGGTTCTTTCGTTATATCCTACCCCTCGATGACGTCACAGGACAGTCCAACATTTTAGAGGATGGTAAGACTGGGTTTCCCAGATTTCTGATGCTTTTAATGGCCCCAAAACATCTAGAACTCAACCTAACCCAACCCACCTACATCCCACGAGAGCGTGCAGCCTAGGTCCACCACTGCATGCAGCCTAGGTCCACCACTGCATGCAGCTTAGGTCCCACGACTGCATGCAGCCTATCTACCTTCCCCTGAAATATTAGACTGTCCTGTGACCTGTGGATTTCCCCTGTTTGGGGTAGGATATTAATAAAGCCCCAAAAAGTCTGGATAGGCTTTTGTTCATGGCACAGAAACATGCTAGCTGTGTGGCCAAAAAAAAAAAAACACTGACTGCCTTTTTCGTGTTGATGTATATGATGTGTTAGCGCCTGTAGCTTAGGCAATGCGAACATGCTTTGTAATGCCGGGGTGCTGGGTTCGGTCCCAGCTGCAGACGGTTTGTCTTGCATTGGTTTTGACAGTGGTACCCAGAGCTGACTGCGCAGGAAGCAATGGCAAACTACTAAAGTAAAATTTGCCTAGAAAAACCACAACAGCCAAAAAATGCTGGGTTTGGTTCTGCAACGTCCTGTAAAAGATACAGCTGACTTTGTATATAATGTCTTTTTAATTTAACTGCTGTCATTTTATTTATATTACTAGTTTTGGGCAAGGAATTATCATCACCATATCTAAGATCTTGTTTTTTTTTTTTTAATTGATCAACAGGGAAATTGTTTACATTCCACTATTAACATATATTTTACTTTTATCTGTATTTTGTCTTTCTATCATTTAGCTTTTGTTGTTAAAATTCCTGACTTACATTTAAATGCTTCACTTTGTAGGGCCAGTATGCTCTGGTGAACAAAGTCCTGAAATCACTTTGTGAAGAGATGCTGGCAAAAATTGCTTCCCATACTTATGAAAATGTGCAGTTCAGTCAGGTACGATGTTAGGCAAAAATTAATTTGTGTTTGTGTGTTAAAATATTGTGTGGGTTATGGAGGGGGGGGGGGGGGGGGAAGAAGAGGGGGGGGGGTAGAAGAGGGGGGGGGGGGAGAAATAGACCCGACCCACTGTCTCATAAAAAGCGTGTAAAAAAGTCAGCAAATTAGGGGTGTTTCCTTTGAAGTCAGAGTGCTTCTGCCTGAGAGGCAAGAAACCAACAGTCTGCACACAAATAAGATTTGTAAAAAAAAAAAAAAAAAAAAAAAAAACGATGTGCCTGCAAAACTTAAATTCTGCAACAAGACTTGAGTTCAGAAGTGGATGAACAACTATAATTTTCTGCTAGACTTTACAGCCAGTGAATGTGAAGCAGAAGAAGAAGAAGATCTACAGAACTAAACAAATTCTAGTGAATCAAGAGGTGAAGAAAAGATGTTGTTTATAGCACACATTGAGAGAACCTGATAACAATATAACTTGAATATTCTTGCACTGGAACACACATGGTCTAAGGAATACAGGCAGACTAAAAACACAGAGAGAAGAGAAATAAGTGAGGAAACCATGAGTGACCTGAATGCAGTGGCAAAGAATAGGATGACTTGACACAACTGTTGTGTGCTGAACTCTCTTTGCTGTTCATTTAGACCAGAGATCAGAGGCGTGATCGTCTACGCTAGTCGTAAAGGCACTAGATGATGATGATGACAGTGCAAAAAGTCTAGGCTTCTTGGCACCTGAGACAAAGGTTTCTTGAGATTAACGGCTAACAGCAGACTTCACAGGTATTTAAGAACCAGGTGTGACTTGCCGCTGAAGGTGAACCCTTGTCCATGTTAGCTGCTGTCAGTTCGTCTTACTGTATGGACGTGTTGTTCGAGTTCAGTGGTTGAATGGACTGTGTTGTAACAATGTTTTATTCTGTGGAATTTCTGTGAACTGTCTGGAATGATTGTAGTGTATCGTGAGTTGGACTTTTGGGAATGCTATCAGTAATATCTAGCATAGACTAGTGTCAGCCCATGTGTTGTGGGGTCGACAGTGTTGCTGCTATGGGACACGTGGTTAATAGGTTTCTATAAGGGCACAGAAGGTGCCACGGGACCTTATGTGCCAACAAATGTTTAGTTGTGAGGCGCGGGAAAGGGGGAGGGGGGAGTAGCGGAGGATGATTGACTGGATGTTAGTCAGCGATACTTCAATGAGTGGCTGAGATAAGAGGTCTGAGTCTTCACCAAGAGGTGCATCTATCTGGAATCCCATGTGGTGGCGGGGTCATTTAGGGAATGAACCGCCAACAGTTGTCACTGCACATCACACAGGTGTATCTGCGCAGTCCGTTGTGAGTAGCTCGAGTCTGGGATGACTGTCGATATGAGTATTGGGAAGGCAGTAGAAGTCTTGACAGTGTGCCATCGATCACCATTTCATCCTCGTTGTTGTGTTCGCCCATAATAAAGAGACTGATCGCACTAAAAGATCATACTTGGTGGGGTTGGTGTATTATGTTACCATTTTCGTCGACAGTGTTGGTGCACTTAAGGACATGTTAGCATATTGCCTGTGCCTTGATTATAGTAGTGCTCTTGTTCGTGTTGGCCGTCCTTTACTCCAGTTATAATGGTTATCAGCATGCGCCGTGCCAAGGAGAGTGATTAGTTGATGGAGGGAATGCATTGTATAGGTGCATAATATACATTTATAGACATATGGTAAAGTATAATCCCCTAAATACTTGGCAAGCGTGCGGGTAGAACCCTATCGCACGAGACAACAACTTTGTGGAGTCCACTTTATTGTGCGGGGGGAGGGAGGGGGGTTTTAAAGAAGAAGTGAAAGAAGGTAGAGAAACATAAATAAGCATAATGCAGTGGCATAGAATAGAATGACTTTGTACAAGTCAGTTGTGCTAGTGCTAAAAAAAATTTATTGTCGAAGAAATATAAAATGTAACCGAGAAGCTCATTGAAAAGAAAAGACAAATGAATGTTCTGGCAGAAGTCCTTATTAATTAACAAAACATCAGCGATTTTATGTATTTAATAAATATGGTACTTACGAATTAGCAATTTTTAGTTTCCTTCTCTTTTTCTCCCCGTCCCTTCCAACCATTCTCCCACCTCTCATATAATGGGAAAAATGAACGCATAAGTGAACATATAGATGTTTCCTGCCTGTGTTAAACACCTTTCCCTTCACTGTTTCTTTAAATTTTGTGTTTTTCCCCCCTTTTTCCCTTTCTTTCTCTCACCTCTTTCCTCACTCCTCTTTCCATTGCCTTCCAATTTTATATTGGTACCACAATATTAGGACATTGTTCCAAGTAGCAGTATATGTCTCTCCCGCTCTTCCTCCTTGTGTCTGCCACTTCATCTTTCCCTCTCTTTGCTTGTATAGATCTACAACATATCACTAACTTTTGTATTCATATTTCTAGGAACAGTCAAATGATGAAAGCATCCAGCAAAGTAAGTATTAAAATTATCAGTTCATCTGTGTTGTTTGAACTCCAGTAAAGTCGTTGGGACATTTTTGCTACTAACAACTTTCTGCTAGTTTTGTTTCATTATGCCCCTCTTGACTAACAAATTAATCCACCCATATATTGATTGGCCCCTTTCTGTCTCTCCAGGCGATAGTTTTGTATTGCGCTATGAGGAGGCATGGGACTCACAGCCCATGGGGATGTCGAGTGTGACTAACAAGAGCTGCCCGCGTTGAGAAAATTCTTTCACAATGATAGCATGGGATTTCAACACCATTGTTGTGAACATTTGTGTTTAGTCTGTTTCTTCTCGGACGCTCAGCTGTCATCCTTTCTGCAATAATTTCCTCCTTCCTTCTCATTCTCTTCCTGATGTGCCCTCTCCACACAACACGGTCCATAGCATTTTGTTCCCATGAGTCCACCTCAAAACCTGTATCATTCATGTCCCACTTGCACACATCTTCAGATCGTAGTAGAGGCACCCTTATATTGGTACCACAATATTAGGACATTGTTCCAAGTAGGACAGTAGAAAGAGGAATGAAGAAAGGTAAAATCAGGTATGATTGGCAGAAAAGCAGCAGTCCGGTAGCAGTTGAGGTCGCTTGTGAATAGCTTACATGTTAACTGTAACATGTAGAGGATATAGATGATAGATGGATGGGTGGATGGATTGATCCATTAGATAGAAAGATATATAGATATATAGATAATAGAGAAAGATAGGTAGATAGATTAGATAGACAGACAGATAGAGAGAGAATGAGAGAGAGAGAAGTAGGTAGGTAGATAGATTAGATAGACAGACAGATAGAGAGAGAATGAGAGAGAGAGAAGTAGGTAGGTAGGTAGGTAGATAGATTAGATAGGGTTATTTATACGAGGGTCTCCCCATTTACGCATCACCTGTTGTAGGTCAACACCATTGATAAGTTGGTTGGACTAGTCTACCGTGGTCGAGGTTATGGTTGACGCAGTCTGTTATTGTCTGGTATTTACGTTTTTATTTCGAGAAAGAGATGGCATGTGACATAGGCATTGTCACTTTGTATAGGAAGAGGGGGGAGGGGTTGTGTGTTAGACCCAGAAACTAAATGTTTTAGAAGTGTTAAAAGCTCTGGCATAGTGAAATATACAACAAGCGGTATCAGCGCGAGTGTGGAATATCCCCATGACCTTGTGTGAAAGTCAGATCGCTCAAGGCCGACCTATCAGAAGTGAGGTGGTCAGTAGGTCGTCCAGTCAGAAGCGAGCTAGTGTGTAGCAGTGGGCAAATGGGGGGACCGGCGTAAAATTTACCATTAGATAAATTAGATGGATGGATGGATGAATGGATATTGGACTGCAGGTTACTTTGTCATTTTAGGGGTCTTCTTCTGCCTTTTTAACCCCCAGTGGAGCATAGGCCCTCAACCAACTCAAGCCAAGTTGTTCTATTCTTCACTATCGCATGCAGCTCTCCCCATGTCCTCACCATCTTTTTCAACTTCCCTCTCTAGCTCCCTTCTCCATGTGTTTTTGAGTCTTCCTTTATTTCTATGCCCCTGTGGGTTCCAGTGCAAAGATATTCTAGTTACGTTTTTCTCAGGTTTTTCTCAACGCCAGTATCTTTTCTTTACCTCTTGGTCAACTGGAACTTGTTTAGTTCCCTCACAAAGCTAGAATAATTCCACTCTCCCCTAACAAATGTGTCAAAATGGCCGACAAGTTGAGGGTTTTGGGGCTGCCATGGTGTAGCCACTAGACGCTCGCCTGCGGATCGGTAGGTAGTGGGTTCGTGTCCTGTCAATGCTGGACTTTTTGCAGAAATGAATTTGACTCTCAGGTCGACCCAGCCTTAAATTTTACCAGGTACAATTGAGGGAAGCAAAAGCGGCCAGTGTGATGTTGACCATGTCACATACTGAGTGCTGAATTGCTCTATAAATTATAGGTCTAGCCCTATATGCCCAATATGCCTGAAAGTGTGGAAAAGGATCCTTTATTTACTTTAATTAGGGGTTAAATATCATGTGTTGGGCAAGTATTGCAGCCTTGCTGTAAACCACAACACAGTGGGCCAAATGTCCTTTTTAATGGTGAAGCAGGAAAAGAAGAAGTCTTGGCAAGACTGAATGAATTTTTTTTATAATTTCTACATGGATTAAAGATTAAAAAAAATTAATGACCTGATGTCTTCTGTAACCCAGCCTTGAATGGGTACTGTAAACCATCCTGGGAAGTAAAGGGGCTGATGTGATGTTGATCACATACCCGTAAACTGCTGGTGGGTCCTTACAAATAGTTGTTTAGTACCAGATGCTTAATGTGCCAGTAGTGTTTTTGAGGTTTTGAACAACGGATCAACATCATGGCACACGGGTAGTAACCCATAAGTGCTCCGTTCTTCTTCTAACTCAAGTCTGAGTCCGAAAAAGCTCAGCACAGTGCACAGGCTCTGTAGCACCGGCGAGGATCCTGAAATACTTTGGGTAGATTTTTAACTCCACATTTTGCCCGGCAGCACCCTTAGGCTACACTTTTAGATTTCTAACTGGGATTTTTTACGTGCGCAACAGTGCACACGGGCGTCTGATCTCACTACCCAGAGACCAGGGGGAATTACTAGAAGTCCAAGCCCGCGTGAAAAAATCTCAGCCCTTACCGGGGATTGAACCCAAAATCTTTAGTACACGAGGTGGACACCATCCCTTAAGTCCTACCTCCCCCCCCATCCCCGCCGTACCAGTAGTGTGAGAAGGGGTCTTTACTTTTTTTTTCGCATGAGAAATTATAGCACAATTGGAAACCCCCAAAGGCCAGAAAGCTTATACAATGGTGGCCTTCAGTTTAAGACCATCTCATAAATAATTTATGTTTGCACACTATTATTGAGTATTGCATCATCTGCTACTTTAAGTAAGGATAATGACTGCAATAATTGAACTTGTTATTTTTTAAATTCTGCCCGTTATCCCCCCTTAGTGGAGCATAAACTCTCAACCCAATCATGCCAAGCCATCCATCATGATGCTGACCACATCACCCTCCAAGAGCTGATTCATTTATAAATATAGGTCTGGCTTTATATGCCCAACATGCCTACAGGTGTGGAGAAGGGTCATTTACTTACTTACTCATGTGTGTGTGTGTGTGTGTGTGTGTGTGTGTGTGTGTGTGTGTGTGTGTAAACTAATGTTTTGTGCTAATCTTAATTACTCATTTAGACATTTGCAGTGAGCTTTTATTTTCATCGTGTAAAAAGTGTTTATTCTTAGCAGTTACTTTTGCTTTTTAAATTAAGTATTGCCCATTGCCAGAGTAACTAACAACGATTGTTTCAAAGAAGCTAATGAAAGTAGATCTCTATATACAACAATAAGAAGGAGACAGACACTGTTCTTTGATTACGAAATGAGAAGAGAGGTATTGGAAAACATCGTGACAACTGGAAAGATCAGTGGAAAGAGGGGTACAGGCAGATCAAGGGAGATGATGCTGGATGGGCTGAAACAATAGCATGGAGGGATACCATCAAGAGTACTAACTGTTCCAGGCAACCAGGGATCGTGATCTGTGGAGAAGCTTGAGCCTGCACCAACTGGCAAGGCACATGATGATGATGATTACCTAAAGTGTGTGAATTTTCTAAATTTACCATAATTTTCGGCGTATAAATCAACCTCAAGATTTTTAGCTCAAAATTCAGAGTTAGGCCTAACCAACCATTTAAATTGACCCCCAGACACATGATTAGCTGTCATTGGCTCAAAACTTCCAGTAAATCAATTGAGCTACAGTATACAATAACCTGTGCCAAAACTACTTTGTGTCACACAACTGTATACTGAGAAACTAACCATAATAGAATATTTCATTTCTGTCATTTTATTTTTTAAATATAAAGTTTTGGGTTAATATGCCAGTATGTTAACCAAACACAATTTTTTAATGAGATATTTTTGTGGCCACTTGCAGGAGGTAGGGTAAATAGTGTCCAGTGATTATTAGGAGTGATGTCCCAACTGTTTACAACTAGGTGGTAAAGTTTTATGTTTTATACCCATCATGTAAGTTGACCCCTAGCTCTGAATAAATTTTCTAGGCTTGAAAATTTGACCTACGTGAAGCAATTTTACAGTCTACAGAACTTTTGTGTGTTTTCTGAACTGTCAGGGCATCAAATTATAATTATAATCTTCAAGTGCATGAATTTTGTGTTTGGCAAGAGGCTCACTCACGGGTTATTGATTTCTCCCTGATTTTCTTCAGCATCGGAGGAGAATATCTACGAAGACATTTGGACAGTGGATGGAGACTCCCAAGTGAAGGCATCACTTCTCAGCCAAATAGAATGCCAGACCATCACTGAAGAGAGGCATTTGGGCAGAGCAGATGAACTCAAGAATAGTTCGCCACCACCAGGAAAGAACCAAGATAATACATTGAATTTGTATGCAAATTCTGATGAAGTCAAAGATGTTTTAACTCCAGCAGAAAAGAATCAAGATGATACACTGAATTTTGCAAATTCTGTTGAAGTCAGGAGTGTATTACCACCAACAGAAAAGGAGCAGTATGATACATTAAATTTGTATGCAAATTCAGATGAAATTCAAAGACAAATGCAAGATGACATAGCACTACATAAAATACAACCTACAGATGTGTCTAACAACCAAAAACCAGTTCATACAACTTTTATAAAGCTTGGCCCAATCAATGGTTCTGCAGTAACACAAGTCAAAACTTTGGAAAGTCAGAAAACCTCAGGAAATTCTGTCACGTCTGCTTCAGGGAGTTGTGGTCTTCTAAGAGGCAGTTCAGAAACAGTTACTTCTTCACATGGAATTGAGCTTAATGTTACAGATCTTCCACCCTCCCCCGCCGCATCTAGTAAGGAATCAGTTATGAACTCTTCTTTTGAGAAATCCATGACACGAAAACGGGAGTCCTTTACACTTCCACAAGATTATGTTACACATTTGTAGCATGCATGAATCAATGCTGTCACACATCTTCCTTCCCGCCTTATTCATCATTAGTTATTTCAAGAGCATTTCTCTCTGTCTAGAAAATAAAGTACCAGTACTGACCACAAAATGTCTAAAAAAGGTGCCGGTAATCATCATAATGTGTCTATTACTGTAGCATTGAACAGATGATACCTTAAAAAAATGGGGCCGGCACTTTCTCCCAGGTGTACAGCAAGGTCACTAAGAACCCAAGAAGGGAACAGGGTTATGAATACCAGCATTGGAGATAAAGATTGAATAAGACCATGTGTAGATTATATTGACAGACAAAGAATGAAATGGTTCGGCCATCTAGTGAGAATGCAGCTAGACCAACTGCATATCATACTTTTTACATTAGAACATCAGAGAGGAAGATGAGGGGAAGATAGAGAAAGAGATGGATAAATAGTGTAGCTGAACCTGCAAAAAGATAAACAAATCAATCACTCAAGCCACCTGAGAAGTGCAAGACAAATACAGAAAACTACAACAGATGGCTACAGCCTGGTAACAGTGAGATGACAAAACAACAGGAAGAAGAAGTACAGCCAGAAAGAAAAAAAAAACTTGGTTATTTCTGTGCAACATTGTTTTTCTTGTATTTTTCCATGTAGCTGCTGAAGATATGGAATGCTTTGTGTGCTATAATTAATTTTTGATTCTTATCTCTGTTTTTTGTTATGATTTTTATTTTAACTTAATGGACTCTCAGTTTATATCATGCAAATGGTAGTGCCAGACGGTTGTCACTTTAACTCATTATATCATGCAAATGGTAGTGCCAGACGGTTGTCACTTTAACTCATTATATCGTAAGAGGCTATTCCTTTCGCCAACAGATATCTGGGCGGGAAGGAATTAAAAGAATAGCACAGTGAGGCAGAAGAGTTAAATTAACAAAAAGGGCAGATTGGGTTAATTTCTTTTCCTTCTTTGTTCACCAGCTGTAAGCCCCGGCAGAAAGTCCTGGTTGTTCATCTGTTTGAACTTTGGCTTTGTGCCAGGGACTGGGTTTTGCGGGTACATCCATTTTACTGGCTTATTTGTGTGCAGTTGTTATTCCTTGCCACTCTGGCAGATGTACTCTGACTTCGAAGGAAGCTCCTGATTAGTTGACGCTTATAACGTGCTTTTTTTTTTTTGGGGTAGAGAGGGGATCTGTTCTTGCTCTCCCCAAAATGGTGCCCCAGGACCCACACAGGAAGGGTTAATATAAAAACTAGGTTTGACACAAGAAGGTAAGAAAGAATAGGATATAAATGTAAATTAGTTAACGCACAATGCATTGCTTGTTTCTGAACGAGTTAACTTATGCTACTCAGATAATAGAAGGCTGCTCCTCTGTAGCAGCTAACACTGTGACATCCCCATGTTTGGCTGCACCATGATGTCATGTGCTTAACACTCTTGAAATCCTTAACAACAATATTGATAGGTTAGAAAACAAAGACATAGTTATAATTTTTATCACAATTTTAGCATTTTAATTTTAAACCTTCTGGCAACTATAATCTCCTTTCACTGGAACCAAGAGGGAAAAGGAAATATAGGGAGACACCCCAAGAAAAGACAAAAACGTGGACAATAGAAGCAGAGACCAGATGAATAAAGTGGGGATGACATAGAGGGGACTAAAGCCTTTTCATTTTCCTATGTATAGTTCACGTCTTCTGGTGTCACTAATCATTACAATCCGTACCCTTGTGTATTGTGGACTGTCAGTCTTTTCCAACACAGATGTTCTACCATGCCATAATGCCAGAATGTCCAACATCTTTTTTTTCAGGGGGGGGTTTAATCTGCTTCTCTTTAAGTCCAACTTTATCTTTGTCAGTAAATACTCCAGTTTTCCCCTTGCCAGGGCATGCCATACAAATTTTTTACCATTTTCTACCAAAGTCTGTATCAGTGAAGAAAACTGAGATGACACACCACAAATACAAATTTAAAGAAAAAAAAAGCACATAGGCGGGTAATTCATACGGTAAAAGCATGTGAAAAATCGGAAAGGTCATTTAGAAAGCATAATACAGTAAATAATACATGATATCAGGCTACAATTCTAAAGGCTGACAAAGAAAGGAATGAGTGAAAGGATACAAAAAAGAGACACAACAGAAATGCAGTATGACATTAACACAAGCTACGCATCTAGCAAAATACAGGAAACATCATCTAACGAATTTCTGCAACCCTTTATGGTGCAAGCAAAATACAGGAAACATCAAACTCATCTCTGCAACCCTTTATAGCATAAGCAAAATACAGGAAACAACATCTAACTCATCTCTGCAACCCTTTATGGTGTAAGCAAAATACAGGAAACATCAAACTCATCTCTGCAACCCTTTATGGTGTAAGCAAAATACAGGAAACAACATCTCACTCATCTTTTCAACTCTTTATGGTGTAAGCAAAATACAGGAAACATCAAACTCATCTCTGCAACTCTTTATGGCATAAGCAAAATACAGGAAACATCTGACATCTCTGCAACCCTTTATGGCATAAGCAAGAAGGTCAGATAAGAAGAAGAATACAGAACTGATTTTTCACCTGCCTGTCCGAATGTCATGGATTTGAGTCTTCATCCTAGCATATTTTTTTCTTTTCTGACATAGGCTCCTAGGTCGACCAAGTCTAAAATGGGTGCCAGTTAATGTGATGGGAAGTAAAGGTGGCCTCTGTAATTTTGACGTCCCCTTTTGAATGCTTAGTCTATAAAAATATATATGAGTCTAGCATGATATGCACGGGAGTTGCCGTGGCATAGCGGTTAGAGGCTCGCGTGGGGATCAGAAGGTCGTGAGTTTACTCCCTGGTGGAGCCAGACTTTTTTTTCAAAAATGACCTTGACTCCCAGGTCGATCCAGCCTTGAGTGGGTACAGGGTGCAGTCCCCGGAAGTAAAGGCGGCCAGCGTGTTGCTGACCACATCACCCATCTTATGCGGATTGGTCTATAAAAAATTTAGGTCTAGTCCTGTATGGCTTAAACGCCTAAAGGGACCTTTACTTACTTTGCTCAATATGCCACTGGCGAAAAAGGCTTCTATTAATACTGGCCTAATTGAGCTCAGTGTTGCTTGTATTTATGCATTTAGCCATAGAAGTTATTTGCTCAGTAATGTCTCTAATATTTTTGCCTTGTTTACCCGAAAATAAGACCCGGTCTTATATTTATTTTTGCTGTGAAAGGTGCCTTGGGATTATTTCCAGGTGATGTCCTTTCTTTTTTCATGTACAAAAATTACATTGTTATTAAGTACAAAAGTATACCAAAACAGTGTTTCCCCATTTTAAATTTGAGCAAAGAAGACACAACAATAGATTACAACATTTATTGCCTGGCATATTTCACTGTATCTTGCCAGGCACATATAAATTGATTCTGAATGAGTGAGCAAAGCTTCTATAACCTATGTTTTTTTTTATTTTATTTTATTTTTAACATCTGCTATATCAAGACATAGCTGCTGCTAAATAGTGTCCCATCCATTTGTAACATTTACACTAAATTGCTTTGTTCATTTTCGCCAATGTAAATTTGGTATGTTAAACAGAAATACATTATTTTTATTTTTAACAATTTGCTACACGAATACACAAGCACAGCTGTGTAATGTCTCATTAATTTGTAAAAATTTTACCTGAATTGATTTGTTTAATTTTCCCAGTGTAACTTAACATACTAAGTTTTTTTAAAATATTGCTTACTGCTTGCATGTCATTGTGAGATAGTGAGCTTTTGTCTTACAGCAACTGGCTGTAGCCTGTGGCAGTTAATTTTGGCTTATGATAGCTGGCTGTGACTTATGGTATCATATAATATTGGTTTGTGATGGCTGGTGGAAAGCTAGCTACTGTAACTGCAGCAGTGGTATCACTGCTGGGCTGGCTTATAACAGCTTACTCAGGTGGGCTGCCTTGTAAACAGTTGGACTACTTTGTAAACAGATGGACTGCCTTGTAAACAGCTGGGCTGCCTTGTAAACAGCTGGACTTCCACGTAAACAGCTGGACTGCCTTGTAAGCAGCTGATCTGCCTTGTAAACAGTTGAACTGCCTTGTAAACAGTTGAACTGCATTGTAAACAGTTGAACTGCCTTGTAAATAGTTGGACTGCCTTGTAAACAGTTGGACTGCTTTATACCCATTGAGTCTGCCATATAACTGAACACTTTTGTAAACAGCTGGGCTGATTTTTAACTGGCTTGTCTAATAAACAGCTGAACTGCCATAAACAGCTGACCTGTTTATACCAGATAAGCCTACTATATAACTGAATTGTCATAAACAGCTGGCCTAATTTATACGAGATTAGTCTACTATATAACTGAATTGTCATAAACAGCTGGCCTATATACAAGATTAGTCTACTATATAACTGAATTGTCATAAACAGCTAGCCTGGTTTATACCAGATGAGTCTACTATATAACTAAATTGTTATAAACAGCTGCCTGTTGTTAAACAGGTTAATGGCGGCTGGCATATAATCGACATATAAACAGCTGCTCGGCATAACAGCTACATCAAGCTTATTACAGCCAGACTGGGTAACAGCTGGATATAACTTCTGAAAAGGAAGTTTATAGAAGATAGATCATGTATGTGATATTTGAACAGGCTTATAAACTGTTGAACTGGCTT